ATAAATGCTTTACAAAAATCGACCTCCTAGCTCTCCTTTCCAATTCTTTTTCAAATTCGTCAATATTATCCTGTACTGAGTTTTTACCTCAATATAACTAACTTTCGACTTTTTTGACGCTGAAATAGAAAGTTTTATTAGTCGCTGCATTGCGCCACTTGCTCGAGAGGTCGGTCGCTTTGTTCTTCAACATTTTCACTTTATCTGTTTACATTTGTTTCGTCATATAATTTTTTCGTTTTCGCTTTTTCATTTACATATTTGAAATTTGGCACGGTGTTACCAGATGGAAATATTAGCTAGTTCTAACTAGAATATTATTAGAGCTTTTTTATGCCTATTACGATAGCAAATCTGTTATCCCGTACCGGACCGTTGAACTTCACAATTTCCTCACAATTATATGTGGAACTAAATGCCGTCAGACCCTTTTAAGAACCGAGTTTATTGGCAACGTCTCCTAATAAACTGAACGGTAAATGTATGGACATGTGTAAGAAGTAACTCCATAGCCCCCAGGTTCAAAGCTTGCCGAGACTTGTACTCGACGATCGATAGATGACATCATAAGTAAAATTTTCTATTACACTTTCAAGAATAAAGCCACTACTTATACAAATGACATATTTCATTAAGCTTCCATTCCGCCTAGCGAACTTTATCATCAATGACTCATGTTTTGTTTCGAAATTTGCTTTCTCGATTCCTTTAAAAAAGAAATCGATTGAATTTTAGTCATTATGCTTGCGTGTAGGCGCAACATTCTCTCCACTTGTTGACTGTAAGGATCAAAAGGTCGGATCTCCTTTGTGTTCCACGTAAATTAGATATAGACTAAGTACTATAACGTACGGCCTTGAAGGACAAGACAGGGAGACAGACATGTTTGACGTTCATGCGAAAATTGAACATATGACTTCGATAATGAGATCGAGAGTTTGGCTGCTAACGTGTCCGACTTCCGTCTTGTCTTTCTTCTGACTTTAGCTTTCAACCTGAGCAGACCTGTGCTCCTGCCCTTATCTGCAGATGAATAGGAACCATTTGCATGACATAACGATTACCCATTAATCTAATTAGAGTTGAGTGCAAAATGATTACATTCAACTATGCAAGTATGTATGCAAGCTTATACCATCGAAGTACGAGAATGGATAGCAAGATTAATGAAAGAGTACATGATAGCGACAATTATCGATGGTGTTGTATAATAGGACCATAAGGGAATCAAATGACGATTAGCAGACTGAGACAGGACAGGGTTATGGATAACTTTTCTAGTCCTGACTAGCCAATCCCTACGAGAATAGCTGTAGAGTTCCAAAAATTAGATATTTTCCTATAATGAACCTGCTTTCCTCACTGAGTGTTACCACCACAGCACAATTAGTCGAGCAATCACATGAAATTTTATTAAGTAAAATAAAATTTTTACTTCCCCACAAAGCTTGGAAGAGTTTCATAGAACTATTTCACAATTGTCAGCGCACAGAGCAAGAAAGACTACAATATGACCATAATCGTCGCTAGCACAAGTTATTGTGATTGAGCGAAATTTGAAATTAACTTTATTGCTTTCAAGAAAGTTTTTAATATCAGAGAACAGAAAAAATGAAGAAAGTTGTGTCAAAGATTGGATTTTATTTAGTCCCTGAATGTAACCGAAAGACTTCCTGACAATATTTTTAAGTTCTACACATTATTTTAACAAATTACAAAATAATATTAATTCAACAAAAAAATAGATACGATTGTATGAATATTGACACTCACTCTAATCGGATAATCAATGCAATTATTCTAAGCTATACTCGCCATAGGAAGGGCAAAAAATAGCGTAAATAAGGTATCATCTAAAGCATTTTTATATCAACAACAATTGAATATTGTCATCCAATAACAACAATTAATAATTGTATCAACAAAACAATTTCGTTTTATTTTCTTCTTTTTTCGTTTTATGGATGAGGAGGGACGGGATTCATATTTTTACAATAAACAATACAATTTTCGTTTCCCGCATATTAAGCAAATAAATAATTGATGTTTTAGTAAAATTTCAATTCGCGTTTGAAAAAAAGTAAACATTAAGAAAGACAAGCGCATAAGTGAACTAAGTGCGAGTTCAGGCGAACTTGAGATACCTTTACTATATATATATATATATACATACATATAGTATCAAATTCAAAGCATTATTTTTGTAGATAAAAATGAAAAAAAAATTTCAAGTTATTATTGTCGCCCTTTTTTTGCTTTTCATCGCCAGAGGTCGAAGTACAATTGATATTTTTACTTAAAAATACTTTTTTGCCTTCTTATCGTGTAAAGTTTTTGTAATGTTGAATAACACCGAATTAGAATTGTCGCATTTATGCTTAAGAATAAACCACCCAGTTTTGAGTTTGTGCATAAGAATCTTGTCCTAGGCGGTTATAATTTGCATAAGCTACAGTTGATGAAAAACAACCTGCTTATATATATAAATCTGGAAAGTGCTGGAAATGATGAATACGTAAACGAATAAAACTTTCGCATCTGGAACCCAGTGGGACAAATTTTTCAAAAATGTTGCTGGTTCGGCTGTCGAATGAGCGTAGAGCAAATTGACACGTTCACCGAATGGTATTAATTGAGGCTTCCTACTTTGAAACTGGCACTAACGATGTCTGCGACATTTATTTTTACAAAAACTACGCTACTTTTGCTACGAAGAAGAAACTTGCGAAGAAACGGAAAAGCGGAGACATCAACTAGCCCGTTGAGATCACTGGATTTATGCTGCGTTAAAGACAAAGCCTGCGTCAATACTTTACACTCACCGACAACATTAGAGCTGTTATTGGCGATATAATATGGAGCAAAATTTCATCAACCGCTAAGACAGACATTTCGCATATATTTCATTCATACATTAACCTCAGAGTACGCGGTTGGCATTAAAACAAAAATCTTAAGCCTTTATTTGTATCCCCTAGACGACACAAAACACAAGTAATTCCAAGCATATCGTATATTTTCCCATCTCTTAATTAAATGAGTTATTTAAACCACGAACGGCGAGATATGCGAAATATTCTTATAAGGTTCTCCAGAAGGCCTTCCTCATATTTTTATATTTCTACTTTCGTTAAAAAAATCAGTGAAGATGTCATTGTTTTAAATTCGTATTATCATGACGAACCCGTGGATCGTATAAAGAAATAGTTCGCTAGTAAATAACGGATTAAATAACGAAACTTCGCATAGTCGAGTGTTAGGCGATTTAATTTCTCCAGATTATATGAAATTAAATAACTTTTTCTCTTCTCCTAAACGACGGTGAGTACTATAGAATTTTTTGTTAGGGGTGCCCCTCCTCGAACTTTGTCACCAACTGCATGACATATTGCGTCGCCTTCTTGAGCCATTCGATTTTTTTTAAAAACAGACGAGAAAGTCGCTCGGGGAATTCTCAATACTTCACTAAGGGCCTGCATAAATAAATTTAAGACATGAGCTTTTACTTTTTTACATATTATGTATGTATACATTGGAAGGTCAAGTGTTTGCAGATTTTATTGTGAGACTTCCAATTATTTGTAAGAATGGAAAAGTTATTATCACGGATAAGATGACCGCGAAGGAAACTACGAAATTTAATAATGCATTTCGGCTAGAAAGGTATTATCATTTGTTATTGCATTGCGGGCGTGTCCTTTGACCCCACTGCACCATTTTCAAATTCTGTCACAAATTAACAGGCGATCTCTTCATTTTTACAAGCGCAAGAATGTTTTTCACAGACACTTAGGCAGATGGACGGATACGCTTAGGTGCTGCATTCCGAATTTAATGAGTAAAATGCTGGCTTTTGAAACTTGCATTAGGTTCTGAGGCGTGCCCAATTCTTTTCATTTTCGCTAATAGAATACAAGTTCAAAACTTTTTAACGAGCAAAAAATTTTAAGAAAGCACAGAGATGTTGCCAGTTTACTTGGTATTGTAGGCGTATCCCTCGGCCGACTTGGCCTAATTTCAATGATAACCTGCAAGCAAGCGGCTCGAATGTTTTAAGCAAGTACCTTAATTTTTTCGGCCAGGAGAATAATGCTCATAACAGAGATTGCACAGGCAGGCGCATCCTTAAATCGATTGAGAATTTAATGCCTGATCAAAAATATATATATTTTATAAGGCCTCTTAAAGCTGCCTTCCGGATGTTGCAAGTAATTTGAAAAAACCAACATGCCCCCCGCTCCTATCATTCGGTTTGTAAAAAAGAAACGCAACAAATATAAATTAAACAAATATGAACAGTGAAGAATAGACAGTAAATTATCACTATACAAATGTTTAGAATACATTTTCATATAGCTTCATGCAAACATATGTAATGTTGTAGTATAATAAAACTTTTTTTAAGAAAAAATATTCAAAAAAAAGAAAAGAAATAAATAAAGACGTACGTACGTACGTACGTACGTACACAGAATCAGATGTAACACTTGGCAAATTGACGAAAGTGTTCATTCAATTATAAGTACACAGACGACATCCATTGAAAAAAAAGTCGAGGAAAAAGACAACAAAGTCATTCATCGATATAGCGCAAGTGTGTTGACAAAAACTATTTTCAAAAAAAAAAAAAATTGTATATATACAATATATGAAAGTTTGTATTACAAATGCATAAACATACATGAGGTTCGCAAGAGTAAACATCATCAGCATTTGTGTATGCTTTCTGTATATATTAATTTTAAGGTTATTTTCTTTTTTATTTTCATTTTCAATTTTTATATTTTCTTATATAACTTTATTGACATTTGAATAATATGCTAATTTAAACGGAAATCTTAAAATAAATAATTTGTCCTTTTTTTTGCGAAATTGCCGAACAAAAACCAATTCGTCATAGGAAGAAACTTAAAAAGTTATTCCTGCTATTCTTTTTTTCATTCTTCTTAGAATTTAAAATTTTTTTTTTTTTAAATTGCCAATATTTAGAGAGGACTTACCATTGTTTGCTTTTATGTATTGCGCTGTAGAGAGCAGTTTCAAAATCTTTTAAAATAAAATGCGTTCGCCAAGCATAATCGTTAATTAGCTCCAGGCCGGTTTCTGAGGTCACAACGGGAACGCCAAATGTTCGGGCAGCTTCGCAGCATGACTCATCTTCGGCTACTTCACCAACAAGACAAATACGTATATTAACCGGTGTGAATGGTGATAACATAGACATTTCTATAAATAAAATTAAAAATCAAAGAAAATATTTTTATTCCGATTGAAAAGATCGATCGTGTGATCCCAAAAACCTAACCCCAATTTGCAATATAATTTAATTTAATTTACATTAATCTTACTACATCATGAAGGTCTTTCGGCCTTTGCGACGTTCCAATAAAAATCAAAGGGCAATGCTTTCGTCTAAGCGATAACGATGCGACGATCCATCAAATTTACATCACTCTAACCCCTGATTAAGATCGCAGAGACATCGTACTATCGCACTATCTTTTTATTTTATTTATGGTTTTCGTAACTTCTTTTCGAAATTGAGTCGACAAAGAAGGGCGAGTCTATCTCAAGTCCTTGTTGTACATTCGTACAAACTTAAAATGCCTTTGTAGCACACAAGTTGAAGTACATGGCCCCATTGTGGGCAATAGCGCAAACACATCACACAAATTTGAGTACTTATGAGACGACTTTAATTTGAAAAGAAAGACTTTGCAATTCGGTTAAAGATTGATTGTTATATTGATGAAGACACCACTAGTGAATGAGTTTCAGAGAGCAGTAAATGCAATGGTCCATAGCCAAGTAAGAGTCGCGGCTACGTAACGAGTGTTCGCGGATTCAGATATCAGTATGATAGAGTTTATACCTTGGCCGTAGCTATAGTGAGTACTCAGTCGGTAAAGGCGTAAAACACTGACAGGTTGGGCACACATCACCCTATTTCTTGCCTTCTCTTTCCCTACATGTTTCCGACCGCCACTGCGTTACGCGGACAGGGTCCGTCCACTTTGTATTTAATTTTTTTTTCTTTTGCAATTTAAACGCGAATGTAATTTTAACTAGAATTATTAAATAAAAAGTGGAAAAATAATTTAAAATCATCAAGTATCCTTGAAGAGCCCGGACATCGAATGCACAACTTCGAATGGCCTAACTCTCCCAATTGCTCTTATTTCTTTTGTGTTACCTCTTCGCCAAGCACCAAAAAAAAAGGACCTTTGACAAGAGTTTTATGCGAAAGAAATGATGAGATCAGAGCATAGTTAGCTTATTAGCAAAACAAGTGAGTAAAAATTATCGTTTTTAGGCAGAGGGCATGGGTGAAAAAAAAAATACAGACCCAGAACAAATGGGTCAATGAAAGCTAATCGCCTCCTACGGTACATGTTGTGTTGTTTCTCCTCATCCGTACTTATAATACTTAGAAACTGCAAACAAGTCCTCGTAAGCATCTAATCTATTATTAAATTACATTCTGTGCCTACCATCCCTTACACACTTAACCTAAGCGTTTGTAGCAAAACATTTCACTTAAGCGCTAACCACAGTTTCTTACTTTTTTGATTATTGTGCGGAAGTTTCGTAAGATCACATCAAAAATTCTATAATAAGTGCTTTAAGTGTGCTGAGTATGTCCTACGTCCTATGGGTAAGGTGTTACGTCGGCTGAGCATTCACTCGAGCTACGATCCAGCATAGTCAAGCCGCTTTGAGGTTAAAACCCTGAAACCACGGCTTCGTAGTCGCATCCTACTCGACTACGAGGCGGAACCTAAAAATGTTAATGAATTATATATTTTATCACTAATTCCAAAACTGGTTACTTTCTCCGACTATAAGCAAAATCGCTTCAGTCAATCAATGTCGACCGTCGATGTATAAGTTTATCTATCTCCTTAAAACCGCTGTTAGTGAGAAGCGCTCCTCTTCATTATTATCTATGTTTATTGCATTTATTTTTTATATATTTTTCTGTAAAGACTTTCGCAATGATTTCATATGAAGTTGTGGTTCGATTTATTTACTTCTTTTTCGTTTTTGTTCAATTTTCGTTTCTGTTTTTGTTTTTCCTTTTTTAATAATCCGTTCGTGTCCTAATCGTGTTTTTTCAGAAGGCCTTGCACTCCTCCGCGATCACTTGTGGCATTAGATGGCAGTTTTGTCAGGTTTAATAAATGTCAACCGAGTGAGATACGCATGCACCACTTTTCCCATATAAACCCAAAACGAAAAAAAGAATAGCGAGGTAACCCACCTTTTGCTTGTGTAAGTTTACGGCAAACACGTTCTATGTGAAATGCCGCACGCTTCGAGCATTAAAACTCGTGATACCGTAATTGGGAAAAACAACTATCTACCAAACACCAATCAAACGTCAAGAAATTTGAAGATGAATAAATGCAGACAAAATTGAAAGAAACATGTGATGGCAGAATGACTAGTGCGAGCAAGCATTACATTATTATGTAAATACAGACTTATACAGATTTATAGTAGCTTTATTACTTTGCACGTCTAGAGATTTTAGACCCCCGATACTCGATAAGTATGGATTAATTAAGATCATGTCAATTGTTAAAGTCTGCACTTCGTATGGAACTACTCAGATTGGTGCTCTAGAACCATTGGCAACTAATTGTTTGAATTGGACACCCCTCAGCCTTACAAAACAATCCTGCAGGAGATGGATCCTATTCCAAGACTGAACTACCACAAATGAACGGATGGGTGTTCGGCCAAACGTTCTTCTCTGTGCGAGACACTTCTGCCCTAACGTTTAGGAATACCAGAGCCGCCACAAGTATTGCCCGAAGAGCCGCACCCAAACAGTTGAACCTGCTACGTTCAAATTGTAATTGCATGTAGCAGCTTCCACCGGAGTTCTTTACACGGTCTATATAAAAATACAAGCTTTTCCCGGAGCGACAAGCACCAACGCTCCGATAGCTCCGTGTCACCGATGTAACCAAACCTTTCCCGCCTAGGCAGGTACACGCGACATTGAGTAAGTGGGCAACGTGACCCCATGTTTAGAATTATCGACATTACGACGTATCATTATGTTCACACTTGCATTCGGATCATCCAAGCATGAGGCAGTAAATATGTTATTTTAGTTGGATTAGTTCTTTTACTAAGAAAATAGAAAAAAGTTATCAAACATTCCAATGTTATTAATGTAGCGCGTCAACAATCTTCAAATAATTGTGGATTTTTAAAAAGATATCGTAAAGCAAATTCATATGTATTGGCCCGAAAGGAATTTCATGTGCACAATATATTTAAAATTATACTAAATATAATGATAGAGTAAATAATAATAATAATAATAATAATATTTCGTGACCTAAAACACTCACGCACTAGTCGTCTTACTACACAAATATAGGGTCATCCATTTTGTGGTTTTGTAAAAGAACGTAAGCAAGTGAGTAAGTTGTTCAGATCTTACGGTTACGTTTCGCTCATGCATGGAACTACTTAAATAAGGATTACTACCACACACCCAACGGAATTATAGGTGTACAAGAAGAACTTTTTGGCGTAGTTTATGGGCTAAAAATGTCATTTTCATATTTTTGGGAAAAATTAGATAATTCTGAGCTGGATGATGATATGTATGGCTTCAACAAACAATAATAATATGAGAAGACTTCAATGATCGTGTAATCTTCAAAAGTGCTTAGGTGGTGAGTGAGTTTCCCATACAGAGATCATGGAATGTAAGCCTTTCAGACTTTTTACTTTGAGGTTTACGTTGGATTATTCGCTTACGTCAATAAAACACGAACTCTCAATGACCTTAGCTTAGCCTACCACTAAATTTATTCGTGTTATCGATGAAATAGGAGCGAATTTATGTCGGAAAGTGGTACAAATTGGTATTCCAAGCGGTCATTTGCATGAAATCATTTTCAAATTTTATTAAAAAAAACACAAAAAACAAAAAACACTCATTTGATGACTTATTATATATATATATGTATAATAACAAATTACCCATAGTATACGAAAATAGATAATCTTTTAATGGCATTTTAAATTGCAACAAATGACGCATAGAAAATTTCGTATAATTTTTCCACAAACAAACATCATAGATGAACGAACACATATTAACTGCAATTTACAAGAAAAAAAAAAAAAAAGAAGAAATGTTCTTTATCTGCAAAAGAAGTAAGAAAACTATAGCCCACTTAGAGCGAATTGTGGGCACGTTATAGGAAAATCACAAAATGCTGCTTCTTTCCTACTTCTTAGTTAAAGGAGCTGATCCAGTTAGCGCATTATAGAAAATTTTCTCAATTCGGTGAATACGAACACTTTTTTCAGGTCTCTTTTTTTGGACCAATTTACCACCGAATTAAAAAAACGGCAGCGGGAATGTATGGAAGAAAACGATAGACGAATCAAACGAAACGAAGCAAATGGATGCAAAGAGAGGGCGATAAATACAGAAATGCACTAAAGAATGTGCGAATCTGTAAATGAAACGAAAGACAGAAGGATCGACGGGAAGACAAGTGAATGAATGCAATCGCAGATAGATGGACAAAAAACTGCAAGGACAGAAGCTCTAAAAAACGCGAACGAATCGAATAAGGAAATTGGCGAGCATTGTTACATGAAAACCGATGATCTTGATGATTACGAAAATTGCATTAAGACACTACCACCATTAAACAGTCTATCGATTTGCATATACAAAGAAAAACGGAGAGCATAATACCTTCAACTACATTGTCGTTGTATTATTATTTGTGCTCAAGATTGTTTTCGCACAAAAATTTGAACCAGTATTTGGATCAAATTTCTAACGTTTGCTGATGCTGCTGCTGTAAGAGGTAAGTTAAAGGAAATACAAAATTAAATATGCCTTTGATATGAGCATATATATAATAAAAATCGATCAAGAAAATATACGCAAGTTTTAGACTTCAATCTTTCAATTTTTGCAACAGATTCGCTTGGATTTTCAATCTTTTTTCAATCAGATTTCCGATGAGTTTTGCTGCAAACCGTTTCGCAAATTCTACACTCCGATGATTTGAATTGGATATCCGTCTGTAAAACACAGACAACAATATAATAATAATAATAATAATAATAATAATAATAATAATAATAATAATAACAAAAAGAAATGCTCTATAAATCAATAAATAAAGATAATAAAAGTTGCATGATAGATGAGCATACGCAGCAGTTTCGTATGCATA